CCCCCCCCCCCCCCCCCCCCTTTCTGTCAGATCCTGTTCAGCCTTTGTTCCTTCTCCAAGCACAATATGGAAGTGAGCTGCATGTGACAGTACTGGGGGAGGGGGAGTGAGTGACAAAGAAGAGAGCAGAAACTGCAGAAGGGGAGACTGCTGTGGGTCTGGCTCTGGCGCCAACCCTGACTGCTGCACAGGGGAGTGCCATAAATGCACTTTTAAGCACAACTTGTGTACCTATTTATACAAGAGGAGCAAGCCAGAGTAAAAGCTAGAATGCAGTTCCTCAAAATTGTGCAGTCAAGTTTCCCGCAACTGGAGAAATTTGCAAGCATCAGCCTGCCTAGAGTGCCAGGGATAGGCCTCGCCATCATCACTTTTTGGCATCAGGGGATGGTGTTAGAGCTTGCTTCAGCCTCTCTGAGTGCTGGCCTGGTGCTGCACTACCGCTGGGCCCAGTGCTCATTTCCTCCTGGGGGAGCAACTACCTATAATTGTTTTTGTTTTGTTTGTTTGTAGTCCTGGAAAAAACAAAAACACATACATATGCGCACACAAAACAAAGTTCCTATCAGCATTTTGGCCCAGTATGGGCCCATGGGCCATGCGTCTTATGGCCTCTATTTAGTCAACTTCATAGTTGGTTTCCATGACTGAGTACATGTAGCTTCTAGGCGCAGCTTAATGAGAGCCAGTATGTGTAACAGGAGGCAGGGGGTTGCTGGTATGCAAATATAAGATAAGGGGCTTTTTTCCCTATGATGATTGAGGACTGAGGGGGGCCTCATTTTGTATTCAATTAAATATAGTTATAGCCAAATCCCTTCTCTGTCTATTTTAACTGTTCTTTTGACGGTCTCAGCCAATGAAGTTTCTTTATGCGTTATGAGAGATGACTTGCACATATACTTCTAGCCAGTCAAGTCCTCAGAGTTGCTGGTTTGTCTTAGATGCTGGAGATCATGTTGTTTGTATGGTTGCACATCTACTGGTGACTAATCTCTGAATAGGACCTCTACGAAGTGATTCAATTTAACCTACTCAAAATACATTGTTTTCATTAGGTAAGTTTGAGAAGTACATCTGAATTTATTTATCTTGATTTTTTAGTTCCTGGTTCTTTTTTGGCAATGCAAGATATGGTCCTAGTCTCCACAGTGTGAAGGTTTTTCTTAATTTAAGGACTCCCCTCCCCACCCCTCTCTGAAATTTATGTACCAACTCCAAATGCAGTTCAGCGGAAACTATACTTAATTGAAGTTTGCACCTCTGAAGAATCTCTCCCTCGGTTTCTAGAGGAGAGGTTCCCAACCACTGGGCCACAGCCTGGTACTGGGCTGTGAAGGGTTGGCTGCCGAGTTGTCTATCTGCTCGGGTTAAAGCTGGGCGGTGGGGCAGCCCTGGGAAGGAGGGAGCTGACTCTGTGCACCCCGTCCCGCTCCTACCACCATGGCCGCACCCGGCAAGGTGCTGCCCGTGCAGCAGGTACTAGGGCCTGTGCTGGGCCAGGCAGGACCCCCCAACCCCACCCACGGCTGGGAGTAGGGGGATGCAGGTGGGGAAATGCCCGGGGTGGAGGGCAGGGAGGCAGCTTTGCTGTTTGCTCCTAGGGAAGGCAGGGGAGCCCCTTCTTCCCGGGCAACAACTCCTGAGCCCTTTTGAAATCTGTCTGTCAAGACTGGAGTTTGTATAGGTGTCGCTTTCTTCGGTAGCTAATCAGGGTTTTTTAATCTCTAGTTGTCAAATAAATGCTTTACATGACCACTATATTCACTTTTCAATAAATAGAAAACATGTTTAAGTGATTTTTAGGAGTTTGTGCTGGTCTATGAGGGTGTATTTACTTTTATTATGTTTTTAAAGCTAAATTGGGAAGTGTAACACTCCATGTTCAGCAAGCATATTGCTGTCTGTGCCATCAGGAAAAGAACAAAAAGTGCTATAGATGCCCCCCTCTCCCCCGCCCCTTGTTTGACTGGATGCTTGTGGGTTAAATCACATTTTCACCATTTGCTTGTTGTTCAGTTTTTCTGTATTAGAATAGACAGTGAAACTGCTTTCTGCTTCAGCATACTCGCATACAGTTCTGCAGTATTTGTGCTAAAAGTGCATCAGGGAAACATTTGAAGTAAAACTTTAATTTTAACATAAAATATCAATTGATATTTTATTAAATGTAAAGAATTGATGTGCTTTTTCAATATACAAGGTGATTTTACTATCTTCTGTTAAGGACATTTCACTATATGTCTAGCAAAGCCATTAGTGTTTTTGTTTTTTTGTGTTAAGCCCAAGTATTGGCTAACTACTGAAATGGTTTCACCTGTAGAGTTGGGGTGATATTGTAGCTGTGGTGATCCAGGAAAAAATGTGAGGGGCAAGAATGTTTGTGTGATATCTTTTACTGGACCAATTGTCTTTGACCAAATCTTATATAAATAAATGCAGCTACATGTAGTTTATCATTGTTACAGTGAAACAGAAATTCTCTGCAGGAGCCTGGTCCGGATTTGAAGCTAGCCAACTATATACTAATGCTACCAGTAAATATTTCAAACAAAAACATGTTCTTTCTTTAGACATAATTTGTTTTTCAGGGCACCACTTTAGCTAGGTAGTGGCAGAGTACTGTACTCGGGTTAACTTGTGTAGACTGCAGAATTCACAGATTGATTACATTCAGGGGAACATAAGACTGCATACACATTTTATGGGTCACGTCTCCTGGAAAATAATCATCATTCTTTTTTTCAGAAGTTTGGGGTTAATCAATCTAAGCCAGAATTTACAGTGGATCTTAGAGGGGCATTTATTGACTGGGCTTCAAAGGACAAATCCAGCAAAAAGAATGTCATTGAGGTGAATTTAGTTACTTCTTGTTGTTTTAAAATAAGTTGTTGTTGGTGGTGTGGTCATTTCAAGATAACTTTTTTTTCTTACTTAAATGTGTACACTTATGGATGTAGTATGTGAAAACTGTGCAACTTAAATCAATCTGTCCTATAATGGCTTTGCTATTTGAGATTTACTCATCTCTTTTTTTTTATTTTCTAGGGATATAAAGTTTTATTCAGCAAATAGTAGCAGGCTTTAGACTTTTTTCATTTTAGTACGTCTTGTAAAAAACAGTTGACCTAATTTTGGTGTAAAATAGCAATGATTCTGTGTGTTGAATAACATTTAACCATTGGTCACCTTGTTATATCAGTATCTTATTTTATATCTTATTTTGTTATTACACCTTTACCTATATTAATCTAAGATTACTCTGAATTATGGGTGACCCTCCAATAATTAGATTCTATACATGGAAAATTTTATAAATTTGTTCTAATTTTCCATGTATAGAATCTAATTATTGGAGGGTCACCCTAAAATTAATTAACCCTCTGGCTTAATCCCACTCCAGCCTGGGGCAAGGAGCCATGTGGCTGCTCCAGCCTCAGCCCAGTCATACAGCACCTGTTGCAGCAGTAGGTCCGGCTGCGACCTGAAGCCAAAGCCTGGGCCAGAGCTTCCAGCATTGGCCAGAGCCCAGAGCCCAGTTCAGTGCTGCCACCACTGCTGCTACTACCTGGCTGTGCTGGAGCTAGAGCAACCATGTGCTCTGCACTGTGTTGGAGCTCAGCCGGAGACCTGCCAAAGGGCAAGCGGTGCAACAAGTTGTTGTTGCACTGCTAAATATCAGAGGGAAGGTAGTGTCTTTGCATTACTATTATCTCTTCTTAAAATATTTGTCCTCGTCTCCTGTTTAACATCCTGTTGGTGTATGGTACTAAAACACTGAATCATATTTGAATATTTGTGCTTGTTTTTAATTCACATAAGTTCTTTCTTTTCTTTAAAGTTGAAAACCCGACAAGGAACTGAACTCTTAATACAATCGGATAATGATAGTTCGATTAATGAGTGGTTTAAAGTTCTTACTTTAACCATCAATAATCAGGTATGTGCTTAAATCATAAAGACGTTCTTTTCAAGGGCATGCATAATATTTAGAAAACTAATTTGTATATTTATTTTATGATTCCAACTTCTCAAACAGATTTGTTTCCTTATTTCTTGGAGCACAAGTGTTAGAGGCAGGAAAAAGGGCATATGATAGTTGTTCTGCATTTTCTGGTGACTGATTAACAAAATAATAGTAGCACTGACAAGGAAAGTATGGTGCAATGACCTTGGTGACTGACTGGGACTTGTGGACCTGGATCCAGTTTTCTAGTCAGATGTAACCTTTCTCAGAGTGGTTTACTGGACAAGTTCCTTGATCTTCCCCGTCCTTGGATTCCCCATCTGAAATATAATGCCTACCTTACGCTAGAATAACTGAAAAATTCTTGCATGGCAGAGAGATGAATCTTAAAGTGTACCTGGATTTGGAATCCTGACTTCTCTGTTTGAGTTTGTTACTGTTAGTCACTTGAATTAGTGGTGTTTTGGTAACATGTAGACAAAAAAATCTAACATTAGATTTGTATTCTTTTTGCATGGTAAAAGTCAGTATTGCCTTGCTTTAATTGATTATCTGAGCTTCCCTTCAGAAGACATGAGGCCAGTTTTTTTCTGCTGATACAAAGGTGATGCTGACAAATGCCACCTAACACTGCCTGGATTCTTTGTATTTGGGAGAGGTTATTGGGGAGATTGTGGTAGGACACTTCCATCAGAATCTAAATTAATAAAATCTGTAACTTGATCTATTTGGGCACTTTTACACGTGCTCCAGGGTGTGGCAGGGGATGGTTTAATTAGAGCAGCTCTCAGAACTACTCTAATTAAAGTGCTGAATGGTTGGAATTTTTGATTGTGGAAAATATTCCACACTGATGGGATTGCTCAGATGCAATTTAATGTGCTGAGAAAACATGAACATTGATGCACAGGGCAAGGTTTTCAGAAGCCAACAAGATCATTGTATCACACTGATTTCAGTGCATGGTTCTGGCAATATGTCTGATAATGCTTTGCCAACGGTCATGTTACAGAAACAGCAAACTTCAAGATTTAAAGGTAGGGTAACTATTGTAAGTTTATAGGAAGTAACCCTGTCCTCACGCTGATAAAAATAATTCTGAGGGGAATAATCAAATAGCCAGTATTGTTTACTTGCCTGTGAAAAAATACCATATATATTTATTTATTTATTTATTTATTTTTTTTTTGTTGTTGTTGTTGTTGTTGTTTGAGGCTTTTGAAGTCTCATCAGGTAAGTCCTTTTTTGGAGCAGTCCTGCTCATTCCTCAACATTGACTGTATTCAATTCACTTTTTGAGTGTTCAATAAAATTTTCTATATTTTATCTTGTAAATTATTTCCATAATTGTTAATGGTTAAATACTATTCTTACTGATACAGAAATGAAAATAACATCATAGATTATGACATCACTGTTCCAAAAGATCACTGGTTTAGTATTTTTTTTAAGCATTATTTTATTGCTGATGGGATTTCCCAGGAGTGTGATTAAAATATATTATTACTGTATCCTATAATCTACAAGAGTCAACCTGATTTGCCTATATATAATTTTTTAAAATAGGCAGTAGAGTCGGATGAGGCATTAGAAGATGATATACCAGATTCCCCAGGGCTGGAAAAGCAAGACAAAGAGAAGGATAATAAGGATTCTAAGAAACTTCGTTGTAAGTACAGCTAACTCTTAATAAGTTTCCATTGATTATGTTGATCCCACCTAGCTTATTATGGTTGGAAGAAGGTTTAATTTAAACAAAGAAGATCTCTATTACGCTATAAGTATAAATTATTTTAAAGCCAAAAGATGAGAAGAAAGCAAATATGAGGTTAATATTACTCAAAGAATCTTACCAGCAGTGTGCCAAAGCACAGTGCAACATCCATATATTTAAGAATTAATATTGCTTTTCATAATTTTGAAACCTGTCTGATTTTAAGTTCCATTAATTTATTTGCATAAGCTTTTCAAGACCTACATATCTACACTAAATATTTTTTTTTAAATTCCATGTTTTAAAATTCCTTGTAAAACTTAAAATTTGTCATTCTGTCTAGAAGTCAGTTCCTCTCTCTCCTCCTTTCTCCAAATTTGGACACTTCACTTTGCAACAAAATGTGCATCAATTTTTCATCATGCTGGGCCATCAAGGGGGGGTACTGTGCAATGCGGAAGATGGACAGCTGGTCCTTCACATATAACTCCATGAGGGGCATGGGGGAAAGAGGTTTCAATCTATAGTGACATGGTGGGGTATTTTTTGCTGTTGCTGGCAAGTATTTCATGCTCAGCCCCTGGGAGAGCCACATACCTTTACACTTTCACCGTTTGCTTTTAATGTTTGTATAATCAAGTTCTAAACAGTAAAAAAGTCTTTGTGTCTCTGGCATGGTAGTGGGACAGACATGGTTTCAGGGCTCACAGGTTGAATGGCTACATATTAACCACCCATAGGCTGCCCATCAGACAGCCCTGGTATAAAACGTTTCATTTAATAGTTCATTTGACTTTTTTTTCCTTTCAAGGTACCATTTGTACAATAAAGGAAAAGTGCCAATGGTGACAACAGACCCCTTAGCCTATAGCCCAGTGTTTGAAATGCTAGTCAGGGAGCTAGAAGGCCCAGATTCAAATTGCCTCTTCCCTTATTTAGATCAGGAACTTGAATTTGGGTATCCTCTCTTGAATGCCCTAGTCACAAAGCTGTTAGGGTATTCTAAGGTAGTCTCTCCTGTTAAAGATGTTCTACTTTGTATAAATAACTACATCTTTATTGGAACAGTTCTTGTTTCTGTCCTCTCTGAAGAGTATTCTTACCTACCAGATGGGCCTTCAAGTTGTGCCTTCCCAATGACTATTGACATTCATTAAATATGAAATAGATTAAACAGGAGTGACAGTATCCTGGCAGAAATTACATTTCTGCCATGATTAACATGTTAATTGAGCCATAAATTGCAGCGTGCCACACTTTCAGCCTATTTATGGTCTGATAAAATGGCAAGCCAGCCACAAAGATGTTCCATGTGTAACGTAGAACATGTTTGTGATGGGTATGTATTATGTTTCAGTGTGTGGCATTCAAGATTGGACTGCATGGTATGGTTTTAAATGTTCCTTTACTGGAAGCCAAAGGACTCCCTTATGTGGGGACATTTAAATCCAGGCTGAGCACCCCACTGTTGGGCCTGTCACAGACAGCTGTGGGGTCCGAGACCTCACAGATGTTCAGCTGCATACGCTTCTATATGGAAGCTTTTGAATTGGAGCATGTGCACCTGGGCACTGGGAAGCTTCCTAGCTAAATGTGTGCCCCATCAGGTTTGTGGCATGGGCAGCCGGGGATAGAGGAGTTCACAAATCCCCAGCTGTTTGCTTCAGTGAGCATTCACCTGGTCACATGCACACTGCTGACAGCATACTTTAAGACCTAAGACTGCTCTGTTCTCAATCCTGAAACTCAGCTTAGTGTCAGAATTGGGCACAGGGCAGCCCCGGGTTTTGGGAAAAAGTCACTCCCCATCCAGAGTCCATGGGATCAGGCTGGGGACAGTCCCGGGTGCCATTTTGTCCTGTGCCAGTTGCGCAGTTAGGATCTAAGGAATTTTATGCCCCATCCCAAACATGCCTCCTAACAGTGTATGTTTGGTGTGGCAGAAGTGTAGTGTAAAATATCTCATAGCCCAATCATTCCATTGTTTTAATGTCTGTGAGGGAACAGAGACTCACCCGAGACCACCATGAATCCTGATTGGTAGGTAGCCATTCTCCTGGGAGGTGAGGCCCAGGTTTAGGTCCATCTTTTAAATCATGCAGAGGGAATGTTTTGAACCAAGGCCTCCTCCTTTGATTCAGCATCCATTTGATGTGCTATTTTTCTCCTGAAGCATTTCCCAGCTCCAGCATTTCTTCTGTTGTTTAGCTACTTAATGCTTCTCAATTTTATATATGTATGTATGTGTGTGTGGAAGAGAGTATTTTTGTATTTGAATTTAATTTGTCGTCTTCAGCAATGAAACTCTCTGGCAGTATAGATGCTTCAGAACAGAAGAAGACCAAAACAAAGCTGAAGAAATTTCTCACACGGCGACCTACGTTACAAGCCGTCCGTGAAAAAGGCTACATTAAGGGTAAATGAACTTTATTTATGCAGATTGCTTTTTAACAAGCTAGGTTTAAAAAAATCTAGGTCTACAGTTGTTCTAGAGGAAGACAGACTCATAGTTGACTGTGTAAGAACCTGTCATCTTTGTAGCAGATGGTAAATGTATGTTGGCTCATCAGTGTATTGATTGGCATTTAATGGCTCTAGAAGCCACCAAACTCAATCTAGATGGAGAATATAATCTTCAAATTATTATGGACAAGGGTGAGATTCCAAGAACATTATGAGAACTGTTGTACTTTTGGAAAGCAGAGTTTATTGGTAGGGACCTACTTTAATTGTAGTCTCACAGTTTTCATGGAAACCAAACTCTTTTCGTGGTAACTGCAAAAAATGGCGTTTCCCACAATTTTGTTTGGAGTCTCCTGAAAAAAAAAGCATGGCAGTCACTACAGCCATAGAGCACGTGGTTTGAGAAAGCACTACTGAGAAGTTGAGCTGTTGACAAAGACTCAGTGAAGGTACCAGTCAGGAAAGTGAAAAGGTTTTGGCACCATCTTTTAAGAAGCCATATGCAATGCTGCAGCAATCCTGCAGCATGAGTGATTGACCTCTTGGCCAATCAGAGATGAGGGACATGGCTGCAGAGGCCCCTTGGCCAATCAGCAGTGCGGATGGTGGGCGGGGCTCACCGTGGAAAAAAAGCACAACATTGGCTCTGCGTGTCATGAGCTGCCCACAAAAAACCCTTTGTCTTGCCATGATTTAGGTAAGTCCCTATTTATTGGTCTGCACTTTCAGCTGGAAAGCTTGAATGCAAAAACGAAAGTGAATAAAATTGTTTTCTTGGGGTACGGGGTTGAGCACACATGTACATTTTCATCTCTCCATTTGGGCTTTTGCCCCATGGATGGTACCAGACAGCCTTGTATTCAGAACAACCAAATACCAAAATTAAACAACATGAGTTTAAAGGAGATTTCATTAATGTCTTTATTCTTTGCCTTCCTGTTGCTTTTACTGTCACTTAAATGTATTTTTTCCAAACAGTCTTGCATCAGACTTGTATAAGAGTTGATAGATTGGTATGCAGTAGTTTCAATTGTTACACATTTATTTAAAAAAACCCTAAATTAAAAGTGTGCTAATGCAGATTTAAATACTTAAACCATTTGTTTACAAACACTGTTTACCTGATTCTAATTCTAGGTTTTAGATTTTAATGTATCCAATGTACTAGAGATTGCTTTGAAGTTAAGAGCCCCCTTGAGTCAGTAACTATGGGGATTGCCCCTGTTGGTAGATATGTACCAAGTGAAACCATGTTCTGACACTGACCTGCCAAGCTTCACATTTCAACTAATTTGGTTCAGTAGTATGAGCACCAACATATAAACCATGTCTGTTTACATTCCCAAATCCTAATTACAAAGTAAATTGAGATTTTTACTTGGTTTGGATGGAATGAATTATCCCCAGACTGCCAATTTTATTCCATTCAAATACCTAGAATTAATTTAATAGTTTAGTGTTTAAACCTCTGAGAGACTAGCAATAGTGTGATCACTGGGCCAAACAGAAGCGTGTTGAACTGCTTGATTTACCAAAGCAGCTGATTACAGTAGGGAAGAAGTTGAAAAAATTATAGGAAACAGTGTGCATTAATTAGGAGTAATTGTATTTTAATATACTTTAATAAATGAAAATGTTAGTAAAATTAAAGAAAATGTTTTAAGATACAGTGGAAGAAAATGCAGATGTGCACTAAAAGATTTCATAGATTTCATAGACATCAGGGCTGGAAGGGACCTCGGAAGATCATCGAGTCCAGCCCCCCGCCCAAAGGGCAGGAAGTCAGCTGGGGTCATAGGATCCCAGCAAGATAAGCATTCAGTTTGCTCTTGAAGGTGTTCAATGTAGGCGCTTGAACCACCTCCGGTGGCAGGCTGTTCCAGACCTTGGGAGCTCGGACAGTAAAGAAGTTCTTCCTTATGTCCAGCCTGAAACGATCTTGAAGTAGTTTGTGACCATTCGACCTCGTCATCCCTTGGGGCGCTCTGGTGAACAAACGTTCCCCCAGATGCTGGTGGTCGGTCACCCCTGATAAACTTGTAGGTGGCCATCAGATCACCCCTGAGCCTGCGC